TTCAAATTCAATCTTGGCCATAAATCACAAAGCGCCAGGAGTGCAGTGCTAAAGATGAGGAGGAGGCCTCGAACAAGCAACTCCAGTTAAATATTGTACTTGGTAAGTAAAAACTATAATCAAGATATGATCACTACACTGAGAATGGAGAGTAATTCAAGTATTATAATGGTGCAAAATTTATAGAGAAATTTGAGATGCTAAAACAAAATTAATCAAAAATTCTAGTACCAAGAAACCCTTTGCGAAAATGCTCTTCCTTTTAGATACAAAAAGCTGCCTTAAAGGAAGCCAAGTTAAAAAGGTTTAAATAATATAGACTAAAGACTTCAAAATTTTGTTTTTAATATTCCTAAAATGTAAATATTATTTCCATTATTTTTGCAGTATAAAATTCAGTCTGATAAACTTAAACATCTCACTCTATTATTTATAACATTTAAAGAAAACACACATCATTAATCACTTCAAATACTTCCTCTCAGTTTTAAACCTGTAATTAATTAACAAAGTAAAGATAAAATCATAAAAACCAGTCTAATTTACTTACCGGTTCAGTAAAAGTTAATCTACAACTAAGTATGAATTTTAATTCATAAACTTTTATGCTTTGGCTTTCCTATAGTTCTAAGAACTCTCAGTCTGAGCCCAAACAAAGGGAATATCTAATTTAATTGGTAATAATTAGTAGCTTAGTTGGATTAACCGCAATGTACTAAAACCAGGTTAAGTGAGCATGATAAATGATCTAGCTGTAAACTCCGTGTCCCGCCTTCCATTAATTTATTCAGTCTAGTTTAGGACGGATGCCAGAAGGAATGGGAACCATAATTAACAGCGATTAATAATCGTTTACTGGCCTTATAGGAGTAGATCGTCAACGGATTTCCCCCCAAGGTCAACTTTTCCTTCTGCAGTAAAAGTAAAAGCCATTGCAAATGGCAAAATTTCACAATGGCAACCAACAAAAGCCAGAGTTAATTGTCAATTGTGTTCATAACCAGTATCAAGTATGGAGATATTTAAATATGTAATAATATGTTTTCTTTCTTTTCTCTACGTGTCAGCAACAAATAACCATGGTTAAGACCAAATTAGACAAAAGCAGTGATTGCGGTTGCAAGTTATAATTTCAATTACGGGCCAAAGTTGGCAACAGTAGATGGAACTTGGCGCTGACATCCACGGGTTACCACCGTTGAAAATGGGTTAACTGTCCGCGGCCAGACCAGGTGGATTATGTGGGGCGGCCGTGAGTCCATTAAGATGTTAGGAGGCTGCGCTCCAAGAAAGTTAATTCCGGTGCCGATCCAGTTTTATCTTATCCCTTACCTTGAGGCCAACCAAGCCAAGCCTATTATTTTCGTTACCTGGCTGGGACAGAGAAGCCGCAGGATTGGATTGATGGGCTTGTGGCAGGCAGAAGCTCACCATTACCATTACCATTACCATACCATAAAATTTAGTTGTAAAGTAATAAAATATATAATATATAGTATAATATATTTTATATGATACTAGACTAAGCACTTATTATACCCTTGCAGGTATATAGTAAGTAACTCGGAGTAAGTATCTACCATTATGAATCTATGATCAGTAAATAACAATGATCATTAATTAATTCTGAGCAGAAGTATAAGTAACTATGATCAATAAGTACCTATGACCATTAAGTATGTATGATCAGTTACCAACTTTGAACAACAGTAAACAATGACTTGCAACTTTTGTAACACAACACATATCTAGACTTCGCCGTTGGAAGGCACTTCGTTCCGGGGATGTTAGAACAAGTTGAGAATCATATATGCGAGATGTGCATTTGGAACAGTAAGTAACTATGATTAGTAATTAACTATGATCAGCAATATTCAGTAATTAACTATGATCAGCAATTCAATATAAGCATTAAGTAACTATGACCAGTAAGTAACTATGATCAATAAGTATCTACAACCTGTAAGTATGTATGATCAGTTACTTAATTTGAACACTAATAAGCAATGACTTACACCTTTTGTAACACAACACATTTCTGAGACTTGGCCGGCAGCAGTCACTTCGTTCCGGGGATGTGAGAACCAGTTGAGAATCACAGCACACATGTGCGAGATGTGTTTTTGGATCAGCAATTACTATGAGCAGTAATTAGCTATGAGCAGTAATTAAGCATGAGTAACTATGGAATATTTAACTCTGAACAGTAAGTATCAATGAACATTAGTAACTATAATTAGTAAGTACCTATCAGCAGTTACTAACTATGATTAGCAAGTATCTATGACAAGTAAGTATGTATGTATGATAAGTTACTCACTTTTAACTCTAATAAACAATGACTTGCAACTTTTGTAATACAACACATTTCCAAGAATCGGCCGGCAGCAGTCACTTCGTTCCGGGGATGTTAGAACCAGTTTGGAATTATATGACCACTAATTAACTATGATCAGTAATTACATATGAGCAGTAAGTAACTATGAGCATTAAGTATCTCTGAACAGCAAGTATCTATAACCAGTAAGTAACTATGAACAGCAAGTAACAAGTAAGTTCAGTAAGTATATATGTTTAGTAAATATCTATGACCAGTAAGTATGTACATATGTATGATCAGTATGTGTGATCAATGACTAACTTTGAACTCTAATAAACAATGACTTGCAACTTTTGTAACACAACACATGTCTGAGACGTGGCCGGTAGAAGTCACTTCGTCCGGGGATGTTAGAACAAATTGGGAATCATAAGTACAGATGTGCGAAATTTGTTTTGGAACAAATTTAAGCTATTTTAATGAAACTATGGAGTTATTCTTCTATATTATTTTACTAGTATATAAGTCGGAGCATGGCTAATCGGTGGACTTTATATATACATACATATATATAGCTGCCATAGGAACAATTGGAAAATTTTAAGAAAAAATATTACAACTTTTCCAGTTTTCAACAGATTTTCATCAAATTGATATATAGCCATTACATATTAATCTAGAATTTTGGGTGAAGTTATAGGAAAATCGGACTACTATAGAATACTATAGAATAGAGAAAAATGCGAAACGGTGAATGAAATTAAATCAGGCATTGCTTTAATGTTTTTTAACATAAATATATATAATTTATATTGTATTAATTCCTAGTGGTCGAATTTCAATCTAGAATACAAACTTCGGCTTACCAAATTAGCTTCTTTTCTTTTCTTTATTTTATTCACGCATATTATTTAATTATTACAACCCCATAAGGACTTGATTCCTTTCAAAATTACCGTGACTATCATAGAAATAGCTGCTAATTTATTATGTCTATAGAAAGGAAGTTTAAACTATATTATTTATTACATCTCGTCTGTGAAAGTTATGTTCTCAAGCCACATATACCTATATTAAAATAAAACACCTACCAGTCTGAATAAATTTGCACGAAATTATCTTATTATGGCATACATTTGATGAGAATTACCCCAACCAGCATCCTCTTTTGCTGCGTGTAGGCCTTGATAAATTGCCAGGCAGTCGGTAATTACTAATTTTAATAATTTAATAGTTGGAAAATATGATAGAGACGGGCCGGGCAGATATAGCACCGCTAATGATTGTCATTAAGTCTGGGGACCGAGCGGGAGATGGTGCTAGAGGGCTTAGTATCTAACCGTTTAGTTAAGCAGCTGCAATAAATTTTGCCAACAAGCAAGATTGGGCCAAGTTGCATGCGGATTGCATGCGAAAACTTCCGCAAGCCTTCGCATCCGCCAAGTCTTCAAGTTTGTTCGCACCCAGGTTTCCACGGCCTCCCCGAGATTGTGTCCAGGAAGTGGAAGTGACACATAGACAAGTCTGCATTGTTCCCAAAATCCTTACTGACACACTGAAATTGTTTGGCCAACAATGTTGGCTTTGCTCTTGACGTGGCTTGTTGCTCATTTGTCGCCATCTGCCGCTGTGTTGCCACTGCCACTGCCACTGCCACACCGTTGCCGTTGCGCGCTGACTGATTGCAATCTCATTATGTCCGACATGGGTTTCCTCTTTACGAGCCTCGCATAGTCTGGGTTGCAAGAAGCAGAGCAGAAAAATCCCGAGGCACTTCGAATTATTTAGCAAACATTGTCAGAGAAGCTTTAGCGGTTATACATTGTTTTACGCCAGTTAAATCTTGGCGCTTTCTGTTCTGTTTCGATGGCCATCTCTGCTCCATAAAAAACAATTAATTAACTCATTTACATTTGTGTACATTTATATTATCCATTAAATGTTCTAGGTGTAATACGTAAATACAACTTTTTTTGAGCGATGTTTCCTTCACTAAAATATTGGCACATTTTGTTATAATTCTGTCATATATCCATCTAAAATTAACCAAAAAACGTAGACAAGAGTCCAGATGCTTGAATCTTGAATCGATTTAGTTAAAACTGGGACTAACTATTCTCATAACTTACACAAGCAGCTTTTAAAAGTTGAAACTATGTTCAAACTAAACTAAGTTAGATCTAAACTAATGCAAAGTGCATGTTGTGCGTTAATTAAGTCTAGAAATTATTATAAATATTTATTTATATGGTGTGTGCTGAAACCTCTAAGAATTTAAAAAGAATATTGTGGTCTAAGGAATTTATATAAAATAAAATATAAGCAGACCTAAAGTATATCAATATTTTACTATTTTTTAATACTTTTGTAGATTTATTGGCTAAGCAGGACTAGTGTTTTGAAAATTACTCTTTTTTAACAAGAATAAATTAGAAAGCAATTGTAGGAAGTTAATTATATGATCTAGTTTGACAGCAAAATATATTTATTTAAAAAATGGCTTAGTTAAAATCAAAAACAAATATAGTATTCACTTTTTCAGATATTATTTAAAATATTTTAAAGGTTTCAGCACTGCATTCAATAGATTGCCTTTGTTAAAAACGAAAACAATATACTTCTTAATCGTTTTAAAAAAAAGAATAGCAGCTGCCAAATCATTTTACACACTGTTGGCATATTGTCCACTCACAAATATAACATGCACATATACTTTATATACTTGGCTAAATACAATCCATATACGATTTGTATAAATAAAGTCCATTTGTAGATAATTATTTTCTTTTTGGTAATTGACCTCCCCCCGGCGAGATGCAAAGTAAAGTCTCTAAAAAAAAGAAGTGGGAAAACTTTAAAGCTAAAAGCAGCGGCGGCGGGTATCGTTTCGTTGTTGCAGAGTTCGGGGGAAGCCCCATTCGAGACCCATTTCACTTGCATAGTCAGCACTTGGGCGTATTGGCCCCGCTGCTCACGCTGCTCGTCTCCAGGTGCTGCATGAGCAGCTGCTGGAGATCCGCTCGCAGGGCTCGCTCCTCGTTGATCTGCAGCTTGATCTGCGACATGTCCTGCTGCATCTGCCGAATGGCTGTCCACAGTTGGCGCAATGTGGGGGTCATGTCCTCGTTCTCTAGGCCTGCGTATCAATATGTATGTTCGCGGTGGATAAAAGAAGATCGAACAGAGAGAACAGAATACATGTTAGTGTTGGTGTTGTGAGATTATGTGAGGGGATTTGTGACTTAATGAGATGATGTAATAATGTTGATAGTGTAGAGGAATATATAAACTTATTGAGAAAACTTAAGGGGATGAGTAATCTATGGGAGCTTGAAGTGCAAGTATATTTCGGGGCTACTCTCTAGTTATTACTATTATTAATTAACAATAAAACACACACACAGAGGCAACCAAAAAGAGATTCGTCGTGTAAAGGATTTTATTCATTTTTTTTGCTTTCGTTGAGTTAACTCTCTCCCTTTCTCTCGCATCTCAATTAAATTACAGTACAAACGTATAAACTGGTTAATAATAGATTATAGTAGTAGTTCATTTGGTTAGACAACGTTGCTTTCACAAAACACTTATAAAATAGCTCGGATTATCCCTTCGTTTAATAATAATGCACAACAGTAGTTTTGTTTTGTTTTTCACTTTGATTTTAGTTGGTGGAACTAGCTAAGCCTAACCACTTGAAGCGCGCACAATCTTTGATTTAGTTGCTTTTTAGGCAGGTAACGGACACTTAAATACATATTTAGTACAACTCACTAGGCGATGTTCTCTTCAATTTGGTCTAGTACGCACAAAAAACACAGATACGGTTAGAGCAAAGATCTTAATAACAAGATGAGTAACGCAAAACGACAAGAAGAGCTGACTACCTTGAAATATTCTTCAAAAACCAGACAATTAAGCATCTTGTTATTACAAGATCTTTGCTTAGAGTTACGAGTAATTCTAGTAAACAGTTTAGGTTTAGGCTATGGCAATCAAGCTTTCTTCCATGGCAAAATTGTGATCCACTCTCGTTTTGGCCATGTTTTAAAAAAAGAACTATTAAAGTCTAAGGCCGTGGACGGAAAGTTAAAGCCCTTTCGTGTTGGCTTGCTAAACACAGAGGTCTATAAAAATTCAAAAAAATAATTGTAACCAGTAACTGGCAAGCTTCTTCGGTCCAAAAAACATCAAATAGCATCTCTAAGGAAGTACACCTCTTTCTGCCAAGTCTTTTCTCAGAGGCAACCACAACTAGATTACATTTTAAGGTTATTAAAATTAAAGTTACGATATATAAAACAATACAAGCTAAGCACAAACGTAGCTAGGTACAGTCTAAATGCAGGGAAATTCGCTTAACACTGTCCTGGATATCTGTTTCTACATAATTTATAACCAGGACAGGCTCAGCAAATTCAACTGCAAACAACATCAAGGCGCTTAAGCTTAAGACAGTTTGTACAATCAATAGTGAATACAAATTATTTGTCCATTCGCTTACAAAGTTTGTATAAATCGATCGTTGGTCTAGAATCTAAGGCTTGTGGCATTGAAAGCTTTGCGCAGCCAAGAAATCAACCAAAAATTAATAAACAATTTTGCACACTGAGCGCATTCAAAGCAAAGCATTTGCATTTTGTATCTGAATCTGGAGCAGGAGCAGGAGCAGCAGGCGGCGATGTGGCGATATGCGATATGCTGAGTATGCTGAATATGCTGAGACTGAGACTGATGCTGATACTGAGGATGCTTATGGGGATGACGGATGATGGCTGGATGTGCCCCGACCCCGACTCAAAGATGGTTGATCTTGCGCCACTGTTTCATCACAAAATTACCGCAACACCAGCTCCCGGACTGCCGTTTACTTCCATCGGCGTTGAGCTCCAAGGTAGCCGATGGACCAGCTCCATTGCCCCGGATCAGCTCCCGCTCCACATCACTGTCATCCGATCGTTCTCCGCCCGCCAACTGGGGTGTGCTCCTCTGCAGCGTGCTGGTTCTCAAGGCTCCGCCGCAATTCATCAGATAACCAGCTCCATAGCCTGCATAGCGATGCGAGGTTGAGGTCTCAAAGGAGCGATTCAGCCGACGATCGTAGAGTCCGGGATGGCCACCAGGATTCGGTTTCACAATGGTGGTCGTTTGGTTATTGCCTGGGGATCGCTGGTACGATTGCTGCTGGTTGGCCACCAGCTTAGGAGCTGGCTTATTCTTCCTGGGCAGCAATGGTGAAGTGCAACATTGTCGTAGCCCGATCCAAAGCCGCTCTTAAGACGGTTCAACGACTTCCTTGTGGCCCTCTCCTCCGACAAGCTCTCTGGTAATCCTTGATGGAAGGTGATCCTCCGCCTGCTCCTGTCAGAGAGTATCTCTGAGCTGGTGAAGCATTTAAGAGGAAGACACCGAACTGGAGTACAGGTTAAAGTTGTTGGGACTAGCCTCGCGCCAAATGAAGGAGGAATTAAGACTGCCAGCCGACTGTTGGCGACCGTTTGGAGGCTGGTGCTGATGATGCTGGAGATGCTGCTGTTGCTGTTGCTGACTGAGGTAGGGTGAGGTGCCGGCCGCATTGGCTATAAAAGGCAGCTGGGGATTGGAGGTCGAGAAGGTTTTGCTCGTTTTCAGCTTGCCACCGCGTATGGGCAGACATGGAGTCCAGGGTTGCAAGGCTATACAGATCGAAGGTGGATCATATATATCGTTTCAGTTTTCAGGTCAGGTGTGGTTGGAAAGAGAGAGAGAAAAATGAAGAGATTTGAAGAAACGGAAAAACGAAATACCAACAACGACAACCACAGATGCAGGGATACAGTGAAGGGAGAACCAAAACCTGGCCAAGTCATAAATACAAGGTGTAGTGATCAAAACATAGTTACAAAGGATGAATTAAAAGCAGGAAGACGGAGAGGTGAAATTTAGGGAGTACAACGACAGCGAAAGATACAAAAGAAACCAAAACCAAGAGCACGGGATCACAGGATCACAATACAGATATATATACGAGTCTCCAAACCAATCAGTTACAAGTTACCAATTACCAGTTAGTGTGGATCGAATCAAAATAGCGGAATGGATGAGTTATAAAGAGGTTAAACCAAGGACCCTGACCATAAAACTAACATACAAAAGCAACAGAAGGTGAGACATAATGAAGGATATGATTTGGGATGATAAATAAGGAATGTACGTACATATATCAAGAGGAAAAGTCTAATATGATATATTAACAAAAATATCTATATCAATACCATACCGAAAATATATTAATTTTATCAAAATACAACTTAATTAACGTAAAATATCGTTAATTCCAATAAATTCAATTAAATGACAAATAATGAATTGATTTGCGGTTCAAAAAAGGTATTAATAACGATATTTTTTTCAATAAGAAGAAAATAGAAAAGAGGATGGGAATAGAAACGAGAAATAAAAGTTGGTACAAAATTAAACTAAAAGTTTACATGGGTTTTAAATAGGATAACAAATTAATATATTTATTAAACGTAAAGAAACAAATTATTTTCCAATTGTTATACAAATTAATGGACATTTTTGTTGGTAGAAATAAAGCTTTGGCTTCCATTTTGCTTTGCAGAGTTTTCGAGAGTTTTATGGATCTTAAAACAAAATCAATTTGCCAATTGTACAACTAAAATGAATAACTTTTCTCTTATAAATATGTTTCGGTAACAATCTGTTAACATTTTTAAGCTTACAGTTAAGTAGTTGGACTAAGCCTAATACAATATAATCCTGGTTAAATTTGGAAGATTCTTCTTTTGTCTGGTTAAGTGCAACGTTAAGCTCTTGGTGTTAAAAATGAATAAAAACCAATGAAATAAGGAGTAAGAGTAACCAAAAAAACCAACAAATGATAAATGGTTCGTTTAGCTTTTGGCTTGGACTGTGTCTATGTATGTGTGAGGATTGTACAGCTGTGTGTGTGTGTATGAGTGTATGATAATAAGCAATTTTTGCCAACATTTTATAGCATTTGTTTGGTTTCGTTCAGCAATTGATAATAGAATTTGATTCGGGAGCACATGGACAGTCCTTACAGCTAGATGTAGCACATCTCGGATGGCCGGCGCCACTTACCCGAGTGGATGGTGTTCCTGGCACTGTTCTGATAGGCGGCACAATACGCTTCAAATACCCGCAACACCAGGGCGTCCTCCTCGTAGGTGGGCTGCTGGTTCTTCCTGCCGCTACAGTAGCTGGCCAGAGCATTACTAGAGCTGCTACCACCACCGCCGCTACCGCTTCCACTGCCACTTCCGGAGCCGCTGGTGGCATTCAACAAACTGGGCCGCAAGGGCGGCGTAGGACGCAGGCAACTGATGGTCCAGTTAGCTAAGGAATACAAAATGCTATTATAAGCTGAGATGAACCTTTTTGAAGGCGGAGAACTTCATACCCTTTGTGCTTCCTTTCCTTGCGTTTGGCCCCCCGTTGCCGCTGCCACCGCTGCTGCTGCCGCTGGACTGGCGTCCATGGCTGGCCCCAGGGCCGGAGCTGCTGTCTTGCTGTTTGGTGTCTGGACTGAACTTGATCTGGGGCCGGCTGCCCCCAGATGACTTGGCAGACTTGGTGGTTGTGGTGGATGCAGATGATGTGGTGGAGGCTGAGTGTGCGTGTACTGATTGTAGCTGAGGTGATGGTTGAACGACTGGCTCCGTTTGTGTTGTGACATCGAGTTGGTGGCCGGTGATCCCTGATGGCTGCTGCTCCCGCCGCTGTTGGCCTGTGGTATGTTGCTGCTGGGCGTGGCCGGCAGACGGCCGCCGGGTGGCAACAGCAACAGGCTGTGGTTCGATGGCGGTGACATCTACAAGAGATAAATATAAAACTTTAATTAATATCTAATTTATACAATTTAAAACAACTTCAAGTTAGTTTTATGATCAGAGAGTGAAAGAATCTCTCTGCGAAGAACTGTAATAACAAAATAAGAGTAACGTACAACGGCAGGCACAGTCCTTCAGGCAAATCCTGCAGCGAGCAAAGCGCAGCAAGCAAATCGAATCGAATGCGTTTGTTTGTTTGATTTATTTTTCTATTGATTTTTGATTTGATCTTCAGTCTTAATTTGAATTTTGTGTGTTGCTTGAGCGTTAGATAAATGTTTTGTAATTCGTTTAGCTTTTTAAATGGGAATGGGAAACCTCAATTCTTGAACACAACATCAACAGATGCAGTCGGGGGAGGAGATATTCAAAGGACTTAAAATTAAACTTTTGAAAACTAAACTACTTTCCAAGAAGGTATTTTATTTTTTGAATATTAAAAGTATTGAAAACAAGTCAAATTTAGGGAGAAAACTTGTGTGATTTGTTTCCAGAAAGAAGTTAATGCCAGAATTCTTTCAGAAATTTAGTTAAATCCAAATTCCTTTTAAAAAACCATCCAATTAGTTTACAATTTATCCTTATCTATAACATTTTCATCATTAAATTTCCCTCTTAATATGAATAAACTCGCTCTGTGGGTTAGTCAAGGATGTACTGATGATGAGGAAGCATTGTGTGTGGTTGCAATTGGTATCTCTTTTTTGAACGTGCTGCATTTTGGCCAAATGGTTTGCTGGTTTTGGTCAATGAGCATTAGGAGATTTGTAGTTTGTTTGGAATGTGTGAGGAACATATGAGAGAGCAAAACGAATTTACAAAACAATCAAACGGAACACGTGCACGGAACAAACGCCCGCCGACCAGGCCACCTGGATCCGAAGGGAGAACCACTCCAGGCCACCTGGCCGGCGATTCATTTCGGTTTGCTTGCCTTCTTCGGCGCCGGAGGTGCGGAAGCCCTGGCATATGGGGCAGTCCAGCGAGGAGGAGTCGTGGATCGAGGCGATCATGCCCTCATCCTCGCTGCACAGCGGACAGCTGGAGGTGGTGGTCGCTGTGTTGGTGGTGCTGGTGGTGCTCCCATTGTAGCCATCCGCACAGTTCTGGCACACTGAGCAGTACAGGGCACCCTCACTGTAGCCACTGGCTCCCATCATCGAACAGAAGCAGCTGGAACACACTGAACCCGAATCCTTCGAGTCCTTGGAAGGCAGGCTCTTGTTGTAGGCGTGAGCTATGCCACGCACCACCTCCGGTGGCAGGCGCTCCTTCTTCCACCAGTGCGCATACATCCCAGAACGGAAGGTGGCCTGCGGTCCCAGTCGATCCGTGGAACTTGAGCTGAATAGAAGCTCGTTGGACGGTGGATTCCTATTGTTCTCATCCAAGCTGGAGCTGGAGGGCAAGAAAATACTCCTGGTGTTGACCTGCACTTGGGCAGAACTGGTGCAGGAAGAGTCCTCTTTGCGATTGGTGGGCGTAGTGGGCTCATCGGGGAGTGGCTGCTGTTGCTGCTGCTGCTGCACCTCTTCCATTGGATCCACCTCCTCTTGTGTGGCCTCCGGCGTGAGAAACTTTTCCCTAAACATGCCGCACACATCGAACCTTTCTGGCTCTACGTTATCGAGCATATCCTGACCAGTGGCTTCCATGGGAAAATAAGATTCTGGGTTGGGAGGATCAGGAGAGGTTATGGTGCAACTACCAGCCATCCGCTATCGCTGGACCTTGGGCTGGGACACTGCGAGCTCTCACAGCATCGGCACTTGGTGTCCAAATGGAGATCTGGATCCCGGCGATGCGAAGGAGGCTGCGGAGGTGGCGGTCGATTGGACATCTGCATGAATTGATAGCTAATACAGCGCCTTATAGAGTCCCTGCTTCTTTCTGGCGGTGGGTTACGTTTCTTTGAGGCTGTTTCTATACAAAGCTCCGTGGTGGAACTGCTTCTGGCAGCGGGATTTGGCTCTGCCTTGGGATTTCCTGTCGAAGGACTGTCACTCTTGTGGGAAACTCTTTTGTCCGAGTTCAGATTATGACCCTGAAAGGCTGTATCCTCTCGCTTCAGGTTTAGGGGGTTCCCCAGGGCTTCCTCATAGTTGTAGAGCAACTCCGCCTGCAGCTTATCTGGAGCAGTGCGACATGCCGCTGGCAGATCCATGGAACTCGAGTGCAACTCCCCATCTTGCTCAGCATCTACACTCTGTTTCTGCATATCCTGACGATCTCGCCACGTGGGTACATAGACCTCTGTATTTTTGCTGGCATTGAAACGATTGCCCACAAAAATGGTGGGCATGCTGTGCCGTTCGGTGGGAGATGCTGGGAGTGGTGTTGGTGGCTCTGGGACACTCGCCTCCTGGCTGAGATCATCGGGCATACTGGCAAGGTTCTCGCAGGCAGTGAAAGCTCCACCTAGTCGAGCCATATACATGGAACTGGCATCAGAACTCTGCTGCTGCAAGGGCCTGAAAATCTTCTCTGACTCCGACTCCTCCTCTACACAGTTCGTGATGCTGCCCCCGAGGCCCAGCTCCAAGGTGGCCGTGGCAGTGTGAACACTGGAATTCCGATTGGTGGATTTGCGAGCCAAGGCTCTGAGGGCCCTCGAACCAATGATGAGCGACTCCTTTTTCAACTCGTTTTGTGCCAGAACATCATCCGCATCCAGGGAATCCAATTTAATGAGATTTATGGAGGAACAGTGCCTTCGGCCACCGGTGCCATGGTCCACAAATGTGCCCGCCGAGTTGCACATGGAATCGTTGCGTTTGTTCTGATAGAATTGCACGTACTCAAACGGATCCGAGTCGCAGGAATGCAAGAACTCATCCTCAATATCATCTTCGAAGCTCTCCGAGTCTGTGGGGAACTCGATGGCATCCTGCCGCTCCAGCTCCGATTGCCCCGACTCCTGCTGATTGGCATTGAGATCCTTTAGCTTGGCGGCCGCCTTGTGGCAACGCTTCTTACGCAGCGCTATCCTCTTGAGATCAATGCTCTGACGAGCCTGCGGATAGAGCAGCATCTTCACGATGGCACTCCTTAAGCCCCCCGCCTTAACGAGCCTCGCAAAATGAGCACTGAGGTTCGCATATGGCGCTGTGGGCGGATAATTACTGGGCGGAAGAGTTAAACGAGTACGCAGCTGACCAGGTGGACTCGAGTAGTAGGCACACAGCGAGAATCGTGTGCAGTAGCCCCGTGAATCCAAGTGCTGACTCAGCTGCCCACGCGAAAAATATTCAAAATAATGCTAGATCGAAGGGTAATCAATACTTACATGAGCGGCATTCAGGTGTCCCACCGAGGAGTTGCTCAGGTTGCTCAGCTGCCGCTTGATGCCCATCGGCAGGCTGGGATTATTAGCATTGAGTAGCTCCACCCACTTGTTGGCCTCGTTGGGACCCTGACAAACAGCCACGATGCGATCAATTAGAGGACTGCTTATCTCAAAGGCATTTTGATGGCATCCGTGTCCTCCAGCCTGTTCACAATGATTCCAGTCAGAGGGAGCTTACCCTGCAAATGGAAGAATATCTTAGTTATGGATTTCCTGAAGCTGATTAAATATTATCCCTACCTCGTAGATAAAAGCACTCATTCTTTGACTCACACTCAGGAAGAGCAATGTTTGGGGAAAGAGTACAAAGTAACGATCGCGATGATCAGCTCCCACAGCCACGCTACCCATGTGTATTATGTCGCCCAGTGTGCTCAGCTCCTGGCCCTGCCAACCACGCACCGGACCCGTCAGCACTTGCAGTTCCAGTTCCTTCTGCCGCCGCGTGGCTGAACAGGTGGCAGCTATATCCTTATAGACAGCCACACTCCGCTGGGTATCCCCTCGATCCGGATGACTGCTCTCCATATGCCTCTCCAGCTCCTGCAACATGGCCGAGTATTTATCCAGGCGACGGAAGGGCTTCGAGAGACCCGTGGTGAGAACGAGTAAGCCAGGCGTGGCAGCACCCTGCCGCTCCATATACTTTTCCAGTTCATCCCTGGGAGGAAAAAGGGGAAAATATTAATTAAAATCGTATGCTAATAATTAATATCTATCTAGTTGTATAAAATCGATGAAGAAATCGTTGGAGAAACAAACAAAATAGCTTGAAGGAATTTCGAGCTCTATATTTAACAAACTTGGAATGGAGAACTGATCTATAAATAAACATAATCCGAATTGATCAATAAAACCATCGCCGAAAATATTAAAACATTCTTTTGAATGAATTTTTTTGATTCTAAGCGAACATAAATCAAGATCTTTCTAAATTTATAATACACATAAATTCTAGATTTTAGGCAACATTTTCAGATCAATTTCATTATTTATGAATAGAGGGGAACTCACTTGTATTTATCCAATATGACAATCGCCTTGGGATGGGCTGCACAGTAGGCCTGGTGGACCTTCTTCATCAAGGGAGCACTGGTAAGAAATAGCTTGCCCACACGATCATTGCACTCCTCAATCTGTATCAGCAGATCCTCGTGTGTGCGAACAATCTCCACAAAGTTGCACATCAACTGAGAGTACTCATCCTGGCTGAGTCTGTAAACAAATCAGATTTAAAAGAAAGACTCTTGTAAGGTAAAATCACAATCGATACTCACATCTGCGTCTGTTGCATGGGCTCCAGGAAATTCTCGAGCAGACCCTGCAGCTCGGCCACATGGGCTCGTTCCGAGTCTAGCAGATCCTTGAGCACCACCGAACGGTACTCCTGGATCTCCTCCGGTGGCCGGATAGTCTCCGCCAGTGGCAGCTGCACCTTGCACTCGTTGACATAGTTGCTGGGAAACCAGCCAGTCTTGTCGTTCAACGTACCCTCCCACCAGCCGCCATCCTCCCGCTGGGTGACCGTGATAATGTCGCCTTTTTGGAAGCACAACTCATCGTTGTTGCTGCCCATGAAGGAGTACTCCGCCTGCACCATCAGTGGCTGCTCCATTGTTGGCTCTTCAAGGCTGCTGCTGCTGCTGCGGGTCCGCTCTAGTTTCTTCAACTGAAACGATTTGCGATGGATGTTGAACTTGAAATATCAACGGCCGGGTAATTTGTTCAATGGAACGATCCCCCATTGAGCAGCATATGTGAACATATCCCAAATATCTCCCCTATATAATGGCGCACCTACGCACTATTGCAATGATGAGCGCTCGGAATTCCGTTCTCTATTAGCCAAGCATTATAATGGCCCCCGAAAAAAAAAAGAAAAACAGAGAAAACATTAAGAAAACATCTGGCGTGGCTTGTCGAGAAACGCGTGCGCAAGTTTCTTGACATTTTCCGGCCGCCTCCCTACCCTCTGCTCCCGATTTTCCTCTTTAACCGGCTGCAAGTGTCTGGAAAACTCGTGCGAGCAACACGACGATGGCCAAGGTCACCTAAGCGGCGCAAAAGCCATTCGGAAAATTGGGTGGATTGGAAAATCAACAAAACACAAAAATCACTCACAAAAATTTCGAAATAAAAACATATTCGCTTAGGGCCGTTAAAAAACAATCTAAAAAAGCTGGACAGGCAACATATAAATCATAAACAACGACCATGTCGTGTACAAAAGATATTTACGAGCCAGTTTTTTATGGGCTTGTTCGAACAATACTTTAAGAGATCGCGATAAAAACAGTTCAAATCGATGAATGTTTATGGTTATCGTAAAATGTTAAATGTATGACAACACTTTCCCTGGCGGAAACTGACGGATGCGGTCATTCAGATCTTTAGCGCCAGTCCAAGGCCAGAGCAAGTGCATTCCATCAATGAAATGTGTCATCCATAAAAATAAGTGTAGAAAAGCTTTTTACAGATTTCAGATTTTAAAAAATAAATTATTAATGCTACTTTTATGTTTAAAAGAAAGCAGTATCCTTTGGCAAACTAACTGTAAGATTAAAAGTAGTTCCTAGGAAATTCTAGTAAAAATTTGTGGGGCTTCTTGTGAACATTTTCTCTCAAAAATAATATTCCAGAATTTCAGCAAAAGATGTCAAGCCAAAATACACAATAGAAATACAGCATTATTTTCGAAATATTTCCGAAATGTACAAAGACATTAAGCAAATAAATACACTATTAAATTCTCAATGTTCCATGGCCCACTGATTTTATCTATTGTATATCTGAGAACAAGTTGTAAATATTGTCATAACACACACAAAATAACACAGTGAAAGTAAATTGTCGTCTTTATAACCAAGTTGAGACATTAAAAGAAAGCACAAAAGTTCAAACATGATAAACACAATTTGTCAAACATGTCTAAAGTACATAATATAGTTTCCATTTTAAAAGATAACTTTAGTTGATTGCAAAACACGTTATCAATTATTTCATAGCTTGATAAAGTTATGTGTTTAATGCAAAGTGTATTTAATCGATGATTAATTAACTAAACAACTCAGTTATTAAAAGGTAATAAGGGTAACCTATTGTTCATTACAAAACCATAAAATGGTTATATTTCTATATACTTTGAAGAATTCCATATCTCTCCATACATATAAATAGATTAATCACATTTTTGCGGTATTGCCGCAATGAGTAAACGCAAAAATATGAATAACATGTTTTTATTTGGCCCAAAACAATATTTTTTTTCCTCTCCGTCTGCTGGGTTACTAAAAATAAAAAATCCGATGAAAGTATAAATCATGGCGACTAGAGAGTCCCATATGGCTAACAGGAACCTCACTCTATATCTTGATGGACCATTTAGAGGCTCTTCCGAGCAGTTTACTCCATTATTTTACATTTCCCAAGAGAGAGCCTCGCCAAGATGTCTAGATTAATTAGACAATTTTCTTAAGAATTTAGACCGACAATATTTCCCTGAGACAAGGTCACGTTTTGGGCTGCACACACGCATGAAAATGCCTTTAGATTGTCTCTTGTTTTTTTCACTTGAACACTTTGTGTATATCTGTATAGTATCCGTTACAATATATAGGCATGTAGAGACCGATTTATATATACTTTTTCAATAATAAATTGTTGCCGTTTTTCGCCGTTTCTGTTGCTCTCAGACGTTGCACCGCACGCGTTCATTGCTTCAGCGAAACTGCCGGACCAGACGACAGAATATAAAACACAGAAAACAGAACGGAAAATAGAGAAAAATACAGAAAATATATAGAGAAAACTCGGTGGCGACAAATGGCCACCGAATTTTCCACGGCAACATCGAAAGTGCCACTCTCTCCGCGCTGTCTCTTCGCCTGGGATCGTGAGAGAATCGTTCATATATAACATATGTATGCAGATATAATCACACACAAGTACCTTATATTCGAGCGGATATATCGCGTATTTTTCACGAAAAATCAACAGAGAAATGTGACAAAAATTGTGGATCCGGGGGAATCGGACAACCTTTCCATCTTGAGCTTCCAAAATGGGGATCTTCATTAAATTTCATTGAGAAAAAATAAGGCGACAGCAATGCTGCTTCTTTTTGCTTTTCTTTTGTGTTTTCAAAAGTCCCATAAAAATATTTGTGCCAAGGTATATACATATATCTAAAATTCTTGTTGGGATGCGAAATCCTCCATGTTGACGGTTTCGGTCATCTCAATTGGGAATTGGGAACCTCTCTGCATATATGTAGTTCTTGGTCAGACCACTTTGTGAATTATTTACGAAGAAATTTCACCTGTTCCGTTCAGTTTCCTCTCTATACGAGATATGTCTCTGAATCATCCCATCTTTTTCAACAGACATGTCCATGGAATGTGGTTTCTGTCACAGATTAGGCAAATAAATAATCTAGAATCTCCGAGATACACATGTTGCCATTTGAGCAATCATTTTGGCATTGTGGTTTTTGATGCGTTTATGACATTAGTAACCATAAAAAAAAAATGTCGTAAAGATATATTATAACAAAACAGATTTTGTGAGATTTATCTGTATCTAGTTGATTGCCTTTTAGCTGTTTCTATGTATCTTTAGCTATGTGGATTTATATGTAATTTAAGGGATATATGATATAGGAAACTAAAAGAACAACAACTTTTAATTAGTTATAAAAACCCTTTATAAAACCTATATAAATTTCCATTAATTTCTATGATAATCCATCTTTTTGGCTCTGCTTTTCAATTGCAATTCAAAGGCAAACACATTTTTCTATGGGGATTTTGCGTAACCCTGATGCCGCTTTAAGTCCATGGCCGGCAACAATCAAATTTCCGTAGGTGGAATGGATGGATGGATGCACTGCCGGCAGAGGTCACAGCTGCAGATACAAAGATACAAAGATACACACACACACATGACACACCCCATGAAGCTCTCAGAACTGAAAGCTGCCACAGCACGAAATTTTAATTAATTCATTAAACTTGCACATGGCGCTGAATGGCGACGGCGACGACGGCGGCAGCAGAAGTGCAACCTCGCAGATACAAAACGCTCCCATACAAAGATACTTTTGTGCCCACGCTCTCTAAATATATAAACTCGGATCTCTCGGATATTAACGATCTGTCACTGAAGGCAGAAATCAAATGAAATGTCCTACGGCTTCCGGAAATGCGCAATTTGACGAAGAAAAACGTCTCGAAAGCGGCGGGGAAAACCTCAAATTGCGGACTATTTATTTTTGGTGGGGCGACAAGAAAATGTAAACAAAAGTCGCTGCTTCTGTGTTTTTGTTTGGCTTTGTTCTCGGTTCTCTGCTCTCGGCCAAAGTCAGTGAAAGAAAAACAAAGTCAGGCGAAAAGACAAAACCAAATTAATGCAGTTCCCTAGCCGGTGGGATCTTGTCATGGCCGGATCCGATCGGTTCCCTTCATCTCCCGAAATCTCCTCCTTTGCCACTCGACGGCCCCTTCAATGTGTCAATACTGAGATTTACAGGCTGCAGCCACAACCACTCGAGATGCATTCCCCCACAGTTCATAGCAAAAGATCTATGGACATAATATAATTTAATTGCTCCCGCTGTATTTATAGACACTTCATGGAGGAGGAAGTCATGGAGGAGGATCTGTGTGTATATGTTTTTGTTTATGTGGGCAGACAAAAGAGGTGAGCGAGTGGGAGTTCATAATTTGATTGGTCTCTAATATTGGTCTATTCCACTTTGAAGTTCCTCACCTCTGTGGTGAGTATCGCATTGCTGAGAACGAGGTCAACGGTGGAAATATGAAGAAATGCTGTTCTTTGGCATCCTCGAATGAAAATCTGGGCGCATGACTTGACTGACGGGCAGACGTTTTGTTGTTTTCTGTGAAAACACAAATACAAACGGATTTTCCCGAAACGCTTTCATTAAAGCGCAAAAATAACAATAATAAGGCAGAATGAGAATAGAGACGGATGCAAGGTAGAAGCGACTTTGGGATTATCCTAGAAAAACTAAGATATTATTAAGTTGTGAAGTAAAAACAAGCCAGATTTAAAGTAAAGTACTGTAAAAGAAATTAGAATAACCAAGCCTTATTGGTAGGTAGTAATTTAAAACCATAGGTCTGAAGTCTCTTTAAAATTTGTAAAATAAATCCTATCATGTATGTGTTTTGTAAACAAAAACTAAACTCTATTGATATAAAGAACCTTTTTTCAAGCTCGATTCGAAGATTTCAAGATAAGCACAGACAAGGAAGACTGCACTAGCCTTGCCTTCGCTTTTCATAGAATTTTTCTCTTGGCAGCAATTCAAAATTTGTTCGGGTAATGATGCTTGTTGGGTCTGGGTCTGGGATCCACGAGGGGATGTAGAACCAAGGAGCAGGCAGGGCCCGAAACGTGCTGAATGCTCTCCCCGACAGTGCAGTTTATTTTCCCAAAACGAAATGGCACTGGAGGAGGAGCAGGAGCAGGAGCAGCAGTAGGCGACAGCAAACAAACACTTGCCAGGTCTGGGCCTTGGGATGAATGCCATGCAGGGGCCACTGCTATTGACCCAATGGATTATGCAGCCGGGGTACTACAACCTCAACGACCTCATGGAGACGGCGCATTTGGGAGTTTCCTTAAAAAAAAAAAACAGAAAAGTAGACTCGGCAACAAGCCGGAAGTTGCCAAAGAAATGAGTACAAATACAAAAAAACTTCGACTGCAGGCACATAAAGCATTCTAGAGATTTTAAATTATTTATTTACTTTACTCGATACAAAACAATATCAGCAAGCAAAGAAAAATCGAGCCTTTAAGAGTATATATAAAGATACAAGGTACATAATAGCCCTAGCTATTGACATTCTACAAAACACATTCATGGGCGAGGTTTTCTTTAAGGAAGTTGCACTGTGTGTTCAAGATTCGTTCTATTTGGATGACGCATCGTAGGAAGGGCGGCAGCAGGCGAAAAAGTTACTCATGGCGGGAGGGTGCTCTCCTCCGGTGCCAGTGAACCTTTGGCTAGACGATTGTAATTGTCCGGAAAACCTGAGTCATGTCCCAGCCAAGCTGTCTGGAGACGCCGCATCGCGGTTATTTTGTATTAAAGTTTAAACTCACCTTCAGCTACGCTTCGTTTGTACAAACATTTGTTGCTCCGTTTGTTGTTGTTTTCGTTGTGGTGGTGGTCGTTCGTTCGTCGACAGGAAATAGAAGCGTGAGTAATAGTGGATTTTCCTTCTGCTCCGCTCTCTCTCCCTGCAGCTCGTTGTTTTTATCACTTTTTCCTCGGCCCGAACACACTTATAATTATATACACTATTAGTTATATACCAAGGAAAGCACGCTTTTCACTATATATACATATGTGTATATTACAGGTATAAAAACTGCCTGATTTTCTATTTCTGGTCGATGCGAACGCCAAGTCACGAAACGCCCGCAATGCTCGTTTACTATGGCTGCACTTGTGTGGAGTGCATGTAGGACCGCCCGAAACGCCCTTTAAGTGTATTATGTATCTATTTAAGCACTATTAACAACACAATTTTCCCATCGCAAACATAAATAAAACAGCGGACGATAGTGCTGGCAACACATCGATGCACAGACGATACTATCGATAGTGTTTTCAAAACATCGATTTCTTGCACTATCGATGTTTTGAAATCATTTTATTTTACATTTAACACGGGTAAGTTCTCACGTAGAGAGTAAAATGCATTAACAGATATCTCATCCGTAGAGGAGATCAGTTGTGAGCCAGCACGACAGAGCGAAACAATATAATTATAATAGTAATTGTTTAAAGTAATTTTATACTTTTAATATTAATTATTTATAAAAAATAAGCAATTTACTTATTAATACACATAATTATAATAACAATTTAATAAAATATTTATAAGATAATCTTAATGCTTGTTACGTTCCAAACCAAAAAGTAAAAGTAAAGTAAATAAAAAAAATTTAAATGTATTTAAACATAAATCATACATTTTTGAATGTAATTTTTATACTCTTTAAAAATAAAACGATTTAATTATTAATCCAACATTTCTCAAGCCGTCGTTTTTAAGCAAATCGCAAACAGTGATCAACCTCAGGATCGGTTCCATACAAAATAAGGCATCAAAATTGAAGGCTTATAACTTCGATTTACGAACGCGTGCACATGCACGGAATATAGGCTTACTAAGGGAAGATAACGAATATTTGTGAAAATTTCAATTGTTTTTAACCATCAGATTTTGAGAAAATCGAATAACGTGGGTGGGGGTATTTGGGCTGATAGCTAGGGCGCGAACTATGAAAATGAACCAGATGGGAACCAGCAGAGAACACTCGCTGAACCAGCGAAGAATAAATAATCCGGCATCACTACCTGTTTAAATAAGTCATTGATTTAAACTTTATGGTTAATGCAACAGAAAGGTAATACAATAAACCGCATCACAGTTCTGAACATTTTGATCCATGTTTTATCAAAATCCGTTTAGTCGTTCATAAGAAATCCCGACTTTTTCATTTATTTCCATTAATGTACCGGCGAAATAAAAGTATGTCCCGCAGCCCTGCCTGGCTAAAAACAAGAAAAATTGGTTTAAATTTATGGCTAAACCTATGCAAAAGGAAGACTGCCCCATAGACGGCATCGCAGTTCTGAACATTTTAATCTATGTTTCATCAAAATCCGTTCAGTCGTTAATGAAAAATCCGTCATTTTCATTTATTGCAGTTGGGTACCAGGGGTGCATAGTCATGCTCCTTGTATATAAATTAGTAATTCAAATGTTAATTTCTCCAAAACTACTGAACGGATTTCGATGAAACATCTACCAAATTGCTTAGAATAACGATATCATTTATTGAGCAGACTATTAATGTTATTTCGAAAATTTGCTTCTCAAATCTAGTGCTTCAATGCCCTTGCTTTGTAATATGATTTCAGGTCAAAAATTTGCAACGCGTAATAAATTATTTCCGATCCTATAAAGTATATATATTCTTGATCAACATCAACAGCCGAGAGATTAGCCTGTCCACAAGTCTGTCTGTACAATTATAAGCAAAATAGACCCTTATATTTAAAGCTATCTAAATAAAACTTTCAGTTAGTCTTCTATATACTATAACTAGTACATAATGGATTAAAAGACAGAACTGCGATGCCCTTTATTGCTTTTGCATATATACATACGTCCATTAAGTTTAAATCACATTCTTTTATTTAATATTCTTCGTCGAACATACACACATACATACATTTACGGCAAAAATGAAAAAGTGGGGATTTCTCATTAACGACTAAACGGATTTTGATGAAACATAGATCAAAATGTTCAGAATTGCAATGCCGTCTATGTGACAATCTTCAGTTTGCATAGATTTGACCATAAAGTTAAATCAAATTGACTTAATTTTAGGCAGGCAGTGCTGCCAGATATATATTATTCTTCGTATGAACTTTATGACAATAAATGCAAAAGTGGCGTTTTCTTATGAAGACTGAACGGATTTTGATAAAACAACTACCAAATGCTTGGAATGTCAATTCCATTCATGGGGCATGTATATTTTATACAATTGTTCAAATGATCAATAGGAATATTTGCTGGCGGGCTATTCATCGATAGGTGTGGGAGGCGCCCCTATCGATATAAAGCCAGTGTTTGTGATTGAGATCGGAAAAAGAAAACGCTATTTCTAAAAATCTGTGGTTAGATTTAATAGAGTTTAATTCGAAATTATAGAATATTTTTCCCTATCGTTTGAGATACCGTGCAAGCTCCACGCGTTCACTTAAGGGCGTAAGATTTTTGTATATGTTACCGTCGATTTTGCTTGTGGGGAGGGCATAACATTCCGCCGTGATATATACTAAAATAATCTAAAAGAACAAAATGGGTATTTTCCCTGATTTAGATGAAAATCCCACCAAATTGCTTTGAATGGCTTTTCCATTTATTGGGCAGCCACTTTTCTTAATGTTTTATTCAACAATTGCTATTTTATTTAATTTGTAATTTTTAACATGGTTCCATGGTCTGGTTCAGCGAGTGGTTCTTGCTGGTTCCATTTTCATAGTCGCGCCTTACTATCAGCCCAAATACACACCCACTGTTATTTGATTTTTTTTCGAAATCTGAGGGTTAAAAACATTTCAATTTTCACCAAATATTCTTAATCTTCCCTAGTAAGCCTATATACCGTGCATATGTGCACGTGCTCGTAATCGATGTTATAAGCCTTACAATTTTGGATGTCTTATTTTGTATGGAGCCGACCCTGAGGTTACTGTTATGCGATTCGCTTAAAACGAAAGATATTGTATAAATATCATTAAGTTTCTTTATTTTAATTGTTTTAGTTTATTTTCAACACAAATAAATTTTAGTCATTATTGTGCTGTGGTTTTTTTCCAACAATCGTTAGAAAAATATTATACGAATAGTGTCTATGCTTAGCAGCTGCAAATAATTAGAATACATTAATTTCTTTATTTATTTATTTTGGTGCGTTATTTTTACAAGATAAAATACAATTGGAGACATGTGGTTTTTTTGCCAACAATCGAAACACAATCACGAAGATACCAATAGAAGTCAAGTTGTTTGTTTTTACGAAACCTGATGGGTCACAAGCGTTCACAAGTGTTAACAGACTCGTAATAACTATTTATGCACTATTTATAAGGATCTATATAATTTGTTTATAATTAAAAATGTTAACTTTTGATATACCGATTATTAGGGAGCCCTGGATCAACTCGGCACATCACTATCAAACCATTTTGCGCCAGTGTTGAGAAACACCAACATCTCATTCCTTACCGCCACACACGTGTTTGTCTATGCACGTTTAATTTTCATTTCTTCGCGAAATACTGAAACCTACAATGGCTGACGTTGCTGTAACCACGAGTGCTGAGGTCCAGGAAGAGGTGAAGATAGCCGAGGTGCCGGCCGAGGAGGTGGAGGCCAAGAACGGCGCTGCCAAAAAGGAACCGGCCCCGGCGGCCGAAGAAGGCGGCGAACTCTCGAAGCAGGAGCGCGCCATTATCCGGCAGGTGGAGTACTACTTTGGCGACGCCAATCTCAACCGGGACAAGTTCCTGGGCGAGCAGATTGCCAAGAACGAGGAGGGCTGGGTGCCTCTAAGTGTGCTGATCACCTTCAAGCGCCTGGCCGCGTTGACCACGGACCTTGATGAAATTATCGCTGCGTTGAACAAGTCCGAGGAGGGTCTGATCCAGATTAGCGAGGACAAGCAGAACCTTCGCCGCCACCCGGAGCGTCCCGTTCCCGAGCACAACGAGGAGCGTCGCAAGGAGATCCAAGAACGCACTGCCTACGCCAAGGGCTTCCCGCTCGACTCTGAGATGAGCGCTTTGTTGGACTTTGCCAATGCCTACGACAAGGTGGTTAACTTGACCATGCGCAAGCATTTGACAAGCCAACCAATCGTACAAATTCAAGGGCAGCATCTTCCTAACCTTCGAGACCAAGGAGCAGGCCAAGAGCTTCCTGGACAGGAGAAGATCACCTACAAGGAGCGCGAGTTGATCCGCAAGTGGCAGGTGGACTACCTAAAGGAGAAGCAGGAGGAGTTCGCCAAGAAGAACGAAAAGCGCAAGAACAAAAAGGAGGCGAAGCCTGAGCCGGCCTTTGAGCTGCCCAAAAATGCCATTGTGGTCTTCGAGGGAGCTCCGGAGTCCTCGACCCGCGAGGAGATCCGCGAAGCTTTCGAAAAGGTTAGCGATTTCGAGATTGCCTACATTGAGTTCAGCAAGGGCGAAACCAAGGGCTCAGTGCGTCTAACCGAAGAGGATACGGCCGAGAAGTATATCGCCAAGGTCGAGGAGGGCAAGGTGAGCATAACATTTAGCTAACAATAGCTTCTTGACTCTATTTTAATCTATTTCTCGTTGCTTTTACAGCTCAAGTTCAACGATGAAGTCTCCCTGACTCTCCGCAAGGCCACCGAGGAGGAGGAGAAGGAGTTCCTGGACAAGGCCATTGAGTTTATGAAGAAGCGCCGCGACTTTGCCCGCAACAAGGGCAAGCGTTTCAACCGCAAGCGTCACGGCGGTGCCCATGACCACAAGCATCGCAATAAGAAGGCGCGTGAGGATTAACACCTCATCCTTTCATCCCGAGTCCCCCTTCCCATGCAGTTGACCATTCTAAACTGTTACTTGGTAGATCTAGTTATGATAGCTTTAAGAATTTACTTCATATATTACAACATATGTGCTTTCCTGTAGTTGGCAAAAATAATTGTAAGAGATGCAGAAGTCTCCACCAAGAATATGTATAGTCTATTACATAGATAACGAGATGAACTCTAATTTATTTTATTTAGAAGACTACGAATTCTGTTTTCTTAAACAGAGAGAGAGAGCGAGCTACAAATAATAAAAACCAATTTGTAAAACCCAACAAAGCGGACTTGTTATTATTTCACAATTAAATAACTTACTTTCGTCATTGTTTTGTATTTTTTATTGCTGTTTTGATGTGTATTTTCTTTTTCTTTTTTGTGTGTTTGTGTTAAATGATTTCAATTAAATGTATCTTAAAAGCATAAAAATTTAATATATAAACTCAGAGTAATTACAAGTATTTAAATGCATTTACAATTACAGGAAAAAAATAAACAAAATATTGAAAAATTCTTTACAAAAACTATAATTAGGGTAAGCAGGATACGATTACGTATTTATAATTAATTAATTAAAGTTTTTATCTGTTAAGTGTGTGTGTTTGCTTTGCATCATCAGCTTGTACAATTTACGAAGAGGTCACTTACAAATTAAATGGAGATTTAAAACTAACTAAATAGTGTTGGTTGCATTGCAACGCCTACTAAAATTAATTTAAACTATTAACTAAATAGTGCTTTTGCGTTATTAATCAGAGGGAACAAAACGAAAACGAAAACTTCACAAGTGAACAAAGGATCTGCGCAAGCACAACATCATTTTCCTAAGCGAAATTATATTCTTCCGAACTGGGAATTAACTTCAAATTACTGCATGTTCTTTATGATAATCGGGGTTAGTGCTATATCGAGAGCACAAGCCGGAATATATGTATATAAACTCGGAGCGTATAAATACGAACTTGTACGTTGGAGTAATTATGAGTACACTTAATCAACATTTATGCATAAATTAAACATTTATAAACAACGGCTTTGTATTGCGATAATATATATATATAATAGCAAAGTGTGTGTATAGTTATCTCCTTTATATTTATATATATATAGATTTATATGTAGCATATGTGGTATGTGGTGGGGGTGCGCTCAAGCGGATCTCTCTCTGTAGCCGGCAGAAAATGTACAAAGCTTTAGCTTCCAGGAATTTGTTATTATCCTTTGCTTATTCACTAGACTAACACGATTTACAAACGAGTCTCCCCCCTGGAGTCTCTATTATCCTTTTAAAGTGTACAACAGTCCATCTAATCCATATCTATATAGCAAATGATTCCAGTGCGTTTCAGAGGCCATCAAAACAGTCGCAGAAATCAGAAATAAAGTCAGTTGTACGTAATTATAAGTCATCAAGTCAATTGTCAGTCGTTAGAATCTCTTTGAAACTATCTTATGACCTCGAAACGCACTGCCATGTGGATCCTCTGTCGCCTATTTCCAGACGGGCGTCAGATCCAGGGTGAGATTCTGTATGGTTCGGTTGCGGGCCGAGCTTCGCTTCTGCTTCACAGAGCTGGTTATCTCATTGACCAAGCCCTGGCAATCGTTGCAAACGGTCACCTGCTCGCCCCGCAGGTTCTCCTTCTGCTCCGGCGTCTGGGCCAGGTGGCTGCCCGAGGAGAACAGGTTAAAGCCCCTGAGAAACGGGATCTGTAAGGGGTCAAAATTAATTTCAATTTGTATTCTATTTAAGCTAGCTTACTTCCTCTCCAGCGTGCTGTTGTTGGAGAGCGGTCGATATGCTGGGCTGTGCACGGGCAGACTCCGTGGTCCCTCCATGCTCCGGGACATGGCATTGTTGTATTGCTGCCTCTGATGCTGATGAACTCCGGAGGGTCGCATGGCCGCTGAATAGGAGGCCGACATGGCCGCCTGATCATGCAGCGCCTCTACAGCCTGTCCAGGTGCGGTGGCAGCTGCTGATGATGATGCGCCGGGACCTACGCTAATACCCGGCGTGCTCATGTTTGATCTTTGGTGCTTGGGTGAAGATGGGGCACTGCCCACAGTGCTGCGAGTCTGGAAATTAAAGTGAAATATTAGAAGGGTGTTTATTTCCAAAGTGTAACCTAATCCCTACCTTACGATCTGACTCGGAGCGCAGGAGACGCTCGATCAGCGACTTGGGGAACTGGTCATCCATGATATTCCCCGTCGAGGACGAGTGCGCCTGATGGGCGTGATGGGATGGGGAGGGTGTGCTCGAGCTGGCCGGACTGGACAGCAGCGATGGTGAGATCAACACAAGGGGCACGTTCCTAAAGTGCTCCGAGGGAATGCGCATCTGGAAAGATATTAATCAAAGTTAGCTTCCTGCCTCAAAAAGGACTCTCAAAGAGACTCACCTTGGTGTAGCACTTGGCGCAGACTGTGCGCTGGCACAGCTTACACTGGATGCCCCAGGGGCCAAAGAAGGAAAGCGGGTGCGCAGGCACAGGAAGCAGACGCGACGCTTTTCAACATCCTCCTTGACGCGCACGTCCATCGGCAGGCCCTCCAGCTCCGCCTTGGTCATGACGGAACGGATGTGAACGATCTCCGCCAGGGTGACGGACAGGCGATCGTCCCCCCGTTCCATCCAGGTCTGTTTGTCCATAAAGGACTTGTTCCATGGCCCAAGCGAGGATGTTGAATTGGCCGCCTCGTCTGTGGGATTGTACGATCCACAGGACTGCGTTTGGGGTCTGCAGGAAGTAACATTTAAATAATATTTCAATCCTTTTGTTTCCCGACTTACCTCCTTATTGACGTCATCCGATTGACGCGACTCTGGCCGCGTTGGCGGCATAGAGTGCGTCTCGTCCAGATTACTTTGACACCCGACAATGGTGTGGCGTCGCAGGGAGGCGCGCCTGGACTCGCATTGAGTGGCCAGGTCGTAAGCTGTCAACGAGAGGGAGCAGAGGGAGGCCAGAGCCATAAGTCAGGGTCAGGACACTGCGGATGAGCTATGATGTATGTACGAGGTAAACGAGAAAGGACAAGGAGGTATTGTGGCGGTGGTAAATGCTAAATGTTAAATGTGTCGACTGCCAGGGTCAAATGTTTATTATTATTTAAAGCAAGCTGTGAGATAATGCTGTCATGGGACTGAGCTGACTTCGAGTTCCAATATATAGATACATATGTGGGCGGTGGACATTATCATGCAAGATGGCATGCATTTATATATCATTTATCTTGGCAAATATTTACATTCCAGGGCCGTGTCGTAGAACCTGTGGTACTCGTCCTCCGTGAAGGATGGCTCCTCCGGAGGCGCCTGCCTCGTTGGCTCCACTGGTTATCGGCAGCATTTCATTTTTGTTCGTTTTTTTTTGATTCATTTTTTTTAAGCGTAATTTGTTTGGCATTTTGAAGTCGAAAAGTTGGAAATACATTATTACGTTCTTGGCAAATAAAAGTTAAGAGAGAAAGCTACTTTTGGGTGCGTGATATAAAATAATACTAAGAGGCAAATTGCAGAAGACTTTCGTTTTCGTTTAGGTTTTCGTTTTTATTTTTTTACAAAATATATTTCGAGATTATTTGTTGTGTATATTTGTGTGTGTTGTGTGTGTGGGTGGCGGCTCATATGTGTGTGTGCGTGAGTGGCTCCTCAACCGATCGCCAAATTGTTGTTAATTTGTGAACTTTTCTGCCCACACCAAACTTTCCTTTTCTTTTTGTTATTACTTTGACTGGTGTTTTTTTTGTTCTTAGTGCGAGTTTTTTTTGTTTTTTTGTTTTTGGAAACAAAGTATAATACACTCGATTTTGCAGGGGCGTTTTGCTTGTGTCTTACAAAATCATAAAAGTTAATTTAAACAATATATAAGTTAGCATTTGTGTTCACAGAAAAATACGATCAAATACCTTTTTGCGAAATTAAGTTTGTGTTTTTGTTGTTGTGGAAGGGAAAGGAAAAGTAAGAAATAAAGATAAAATAAATTAAAATCATAAAAACTTAAACCATATCGCAGTCAGTTAGTTGTCATTGCTATAAGCAGTTTTTTAAATTTAGTTTAAAAATATTTGTAAACTAAACCTTGGCTTTATTTGTCTTGAGAGCTTTTTACAACTTTCTGTCTGCAATTTAAACCCATAAAAAATATATATTTTAGTGCAAAATTAAGCTATGGCTTGGCCATAATCCATTTAAACTAAAGCACAAAGTAAGCCGGTTTTTTTTTTGTCTTAAAGCTATGAATTATTGTTATGAAAGCAAAGTAATTTGGTAATTAATCAGGGACAGTTTATATAGTTTTGTATGGTAAATAAGCTTTTGAAAAGTTATATTTTAAATAAAATAATAATATAATACATAAGGTATATTCCAAAAAAGATATGGAACCTTAATTTTAATCAGAAGTTTGCAACGCAGTGAAAGAGTCATCTCCAACCATATAAATTATATATATTCTTGATCAGTAAGTAACTATGATCAGTAATTATTTATAACCAGTAAGTAACTCTAAACAGCAAGTATCAAGTAAATTCAGTAAGTATATATGATCAGTAAATATCAATGATCAGTAAGTATGTATGTATGATCAGAATGTATGATCAGAATGTATGATCAGTATGTATGATCAGTTACTATTTGAACACTAATAAACAATGACTTGCAACTTTTGTAACAAAATATCTGGTACTTGGCCGGCAGCAGTCACTTCGTTCCGGGAATGTTAGAACAAGTTGAGAATCATATGCACAGATGTGCGAGATTCTTTAGAACAAATTTAAGCTATTTTAATGAACTATGGAGTTATTCTTGTATATAATTTTACTAGTATATAGTCGGAGCATGGCTAATCGGTGGACTATATATATACATACATACATATAGCTGCCATAGGAACAATCGGAAAATTTTAAGAAAAAATATTACAGCTTTTCAGTTTCAAAGATTTCCTCAAATTAATATATAGCATTTATTTATTAATCTAAAATTTCTCTATGTTTTATAAAAATCGGACTATTATATCATATAGCTGCCATACAACCGATTGTTAAAAATAGAGGAAAATGGAGTAAATGAAATGAAAGCAGGCATTACTTTTTTGTTTTTCAACAGAAATATATATAATTTTATATGGTATTAATTCCTAGTGATCGAATTTAAATCTGCAAGGGTATCAGCTTCGGTGGAGTTATTCATTTGTTTTTATTAAGTTAAACAAGTTGATGTCTAGAACTTTATCCTTTTTCCAGGACTTGACTGATTTCTTTTTGAAATACTTCCAATATTTTTTTAAATAGTCTCTAAAAAAACTCAACCATAACCGTGAGCTAACTTTAAGCCAAATATCTTAGCTAAAATATGTGCATATTTCTCAATTGAAATCATCTCGAATTACAATCGATCCGACACCGACACCGCCTTTGTACTTTGTGCTTTGTGTTTTTGCTCGTAGCCCATAGCTCGTGCTGCCCCAGTTGTCCCAAGTGCGGGTTATAGTCATCATAGAGTATATATAGAGATTGCCCAATCGCCGGTTAGAATCGGATACTCACTTGTGCGTCGGGGTCGCATCATTGACGCCGTCTCCCGAGAATCTTGCCTCGCCTGGCTGGCCACCATATAGCCACCAATGGGATATGGTGGCATCTTGGGCTGCGAACAGCGATGCAGCTCGCTGAGGTGTGGATACTGATTGTGATGGTGGGTGGCCGCTGTGGAGTGGGAGCTACTGATGCTGGACTCATCGAAGAAGAGCTCGTCGTCCTGGAAATGCAAGAAAATTAATATGCATATTCATAAAATGCTGTAAGAGGCAGGAAACTCACCTGAAACTTGGAGAAATCCACTTTGATGAGCCGCTGTCGGGATCGCGACAGCGTGGAGTTTGCACTTGGAAGCACTGCAAGAGAAATGGTTCAACGAAAACAATAAGTAAGAGTTGTGGGAAAAATACGCTTGATTAGATTATCTAATGAATATCATTGGGTAATGGGGAGCAGGCAGGCATCCCATGCAAAACCCATAAAACCGGATTTTCCTGCCTGCTTCTGTGCCATGTCATTGCGCCATTAAAAGGTGACATATCTTGGTTCTTGCTTCTCCTGAAGTTGTCGACGCTTCGGTTCATTGTTTTTTCAGTTTTTTCTTGGTTAATACTCCACCAAGACCGTTAAACCCAACGCACTTAATGGTTCTACTTATGAAACCACCGTCCGGCGCTTGTGCAATAATGCCGCCTGGGAAACTTGTATTTTGCAGTGCCAGAGTTCACTTTGCTTTTATGCAAGTCGAAGCTTTGCTCCATAATAACTGCTACGTGATCCGTCTGGTGGATGACCACCGGGGGCTACATAATATCCACTAACTAAAACTATAACCTTTTTGCCCCGGAGCGAAACACGAAAGTTGTTTATCGATTTAGGTGGTCTAGAAGGAAGTTGGGAATGGAATCTAGATGGGGAAATGGATTTTGAAGGGTTTTAAAATGATTTTGAAAGACTTAAGACAAGACCCTAATGTGGTAAGATCAGTATTTAAAATAATCTTTCTAGTTTTCCAATGAGATTTCATGTTGTTTTGATATTTGGTATAGTTTCTAAAGGAATATGGTCTGGAAAAGAATATTTTTGATACGAAAAGGTTGTAATTTGGAGAGTTTCCTTTGCAGCAATATTGTTTATATTTTATACAAAAGAAAATTCAAAATAAATACACAAACTAAAGCCATAAAAACTTAATCTAACTTCAAGGTTTCCTTAACATATTTTAAAGACACTTTAAAGACTTCAAAAATCTTTGTCTAGTCATGTTTTTAAATTGTAGAAATCAAAATAAAACAAAAACCTTCATAGTAATCACGCATTATTGGCCCATTTTTGTGTGACTTTTAATAATCATAAATACTATTCTTTTAAATAAACAAATAACCCAAGGATTAAGCAACAAATAAATGACAAAACATAGTTGATATTATGCCATATGGCAGAGTAATCAATCTTCTTCACAACTTTGCACATATTTTTCTGGACTTTTGTTTTGCTGTTCGTGGCTCTAATGGCTCCGGCTTAAAGCCAAAGTCATATCTTGACGGCAATTACCGCAGCCACTGCAGTTGCCTCACCGAGTGGCTCCTTGAGCACAAAGAGCCCCCTGCCTTTTGGGGGGAAGTCTGTTGCTGGTGGCTTCCCCTTCAGCTCCTGACTTCTCCTCCATCGGAGGGCCTCCCACTTTTTGGGGCGGCCTGAAATCGAAACCAGGTCAAAGTGGAGCAAGCGCGCACATTCAACAATGGGAAAAAAGCGATATATTGTTTTTCCCTTTTTACAATATATATATACAAGTGTATATGTTACGTTTTGGGATACTTTTTAGTGGGTTGACTACCTTTTGATGACTTGATGGCCTGACGAGGCTTGGGAGTTGGCGGATTATTGGCTGTTGCTCTGGGCGCCGCCCGAGGCGTTGGCTGTGGCTGTGGCTCCTCATTCTGGCAGGGATTGCTTTTTGGCTGCTTGGAAGTGGAACCGGATATGTTGCTGGAATTGACTACAGTTGATGCCGTTTCGCCATCGGAGCCGCAATAGAGAGAGGCATCGCTGCCAATGTCCACCAAGTCGGCTTCCCGGAGGACATGATGTGACCGGAAGACAGAGGCCGCCGTAGAACGTTTCGCTGGCCGGGCATCCATTTCCACTCCGCACTTTTCCACACACACACACACGCACACTTTAAGCTCACAGCAGTTGCATTTGGGGCTATCGATCCGGTGACTTGAAGTCCGGAGAAAGGAAAACGGAAGGCAGCGGAAAAAAGGGAAGCCACCCTCGTCTCTCAATTCACAGAGGGTTGATGATAACAGTGGCACAACTTTGTCATGCTTTTGACACTTGATTTTAACTTGATTTTAAGATGATTTCACACTTTTTCAACTAGTTTCTTGTCTTTGTTTATTCTATTTATTTAATGCCTGTGTCCGCTTTCGTTTTTAATTTCACTTGGCCAAGAATGGTAAGTGGCTAAGAAAAGCGAGGCGTCTCGAGTGAAGCTCAGTACGGAACTGAGAGCCAAGAAATGTGGCAGCTGTCAACTCAACCTCGTTTCGCGCCTGCGCTTAACACCGCTCTTACCTGCTCAGAGAGAGATAGAGAGAGGGGCAGAAAGAGAGCTTGAATGTTGTTTTGACATTTAAACTCTATAAAAATAAATGTTGTTGTTTTTTTGTTGCGTGGGTGATTTATACGTCACTCTTGGGGTGATGACGTCGTCGGCACAGTGACAAGGACACGCATCATAAACACACATGCGGATGACTAAGCGCTTGAATTTCCCTTGCCAGGACATTGCAATTAAAGTTTCATGAGAGAAAGGAAAATTGATTGAAGTCGAGGTCACCTTAGGGGTCAAGTTATAGGATATATTAAATTGGATTTCAATGGGATTCCCTTTTAATAAAGGTGCTTCATATAGAATCATTTTTTTTATTATAGATCTCTGATAAGTATGCTTCTCTTTTTTATTTTACCTTTCCGAAAAAGCTTAGGTTTCGCCTTGGGTTAGGCTTTAAAATAATGTAAAGTCAAATGTATTAAGTTAATGTAAAAACAAATTATGTATAGAAAATATTACTTTGATTTAACAATAATATAACATTAAAATATGATACAAAAAGTATTTAAAGAAAGTATAGATTAGAAGCATGAATGGAGACAGAGTAATAAATAAAATAAATATCTTCTCATCATAAAATCAATTTTAGTTCAATAAAATCCTAATTTTTTCTTTAAAACAAAACAAAAGAAATTAAATTAATTGAAAATATATTAAACAACATAAATAAATTACAAATGATGTGTTATCTTCCAATTAAAAGAATTACTTTAATGGCATTTAAATGCCTTCTAGGTTTTGTAAGATATCATATCTAAAACTTGTGAATTTTTAAAAGCTTTAAATACTCAAAGTAAAATAAAGAAGACTCTAATTATGATGGATTTAAAAATCTTAACATATTATCTAACAGTTTAATGTAACTTTTAATTTTTCTTTTCTTATTTTTATTATTTTAAATTCGAATTTTTCTTGTAAAATGTATCTGTTATTTAACTGTTTAAAATATGGAATACACATTTTATTCCAATTTCACGTATAAATATCTTCTAAATAATTGTTTCACAATTAAAATATAACCATTTTGTTGTCTAAAGTTTTCAATATTGGAAATAATGCCAAAGTCTTTGGAAAACCAGATTCCCAGCCGGAGATGGAGACCCCGAAAAGAGGAAAGAAAAAAACATTCAACATTCAACAATAGCAAACATAGTCTGAGGTGAGGTTGTCGTGCCTTGGCTTTTCTTGGCTTAAATTGTTGTTGTTGCTATAATGTTGCTATTTTTGTTGTTGTTTTTGTTGTCGTCGGGTTGTCGCTATCTTTGTGTGTCACAATTTTGCACGCTTCCTCTGGTAGAGTTTGGTGGAGGAGGAGGATCAGGGATTTGGGGGGGATTCGAGATTGAGGATAGGCCATTCGGGATGGTGAGTGCACAGGAAGAAAAGGGGTTAAATATTTTTGATAGCAGATTTTTTTCTATCTTTCTTGATATTATAATAGAAATTTTAATAAGGTTAGTCAAAAGATTGATTTAAATATACTTGAAAAATATTTTGAGCCATGTTTTATAAGCCTTTCTAGGTTATTCCTTAAAAAAAACTATTCCATGTTAAGCAACATTTTAAGTTTTTTTTAACATTAGGATTCAATATCATACTGATAAAGAAATAAGATTATCTTTCTGCTTTCTAAAAGTTATACGCTTATATTAAAATAATAGTAATAATACCTCCTAAAAATAGGTTTTGAAGAAATTTCTTAAGATTCTAGTATCCTAAAATTCTAGTATTCAAATCCTTAGAAAACGAAATTTAAGGTTTTATATTTTTAAAATCTTTAATTGAAGAAATTCTTTGACAAACTATTTTTAGGAGGAATATTATTAATATTAATATAAGGAGTAATAATATAGAAATCTATTTAACCGTTCGATTTGAAGTGTTATACACATATTTTGTTCAGTGCATGAATTGGAAAATGTTTTGCCGTTTTTGATCTATGTTGGCATGCGCGCTGCACCCGGCAAACACACACAAGCACACCAGCAAAGAAACAAACAAACAAACACAATGGGGCTCCCCGGCGACAAGTGCAGTGAAAAGTCTTGCGGCTGGCAACGAGTTTTCCTCTGCATTCTCTCTCTTTCTCTTTTTTTCTTTCTCTTTCTCTGGCTTGGCGGCAGGAGACATCGGTTGTCTATATAAGCCCAAACACAGACACACACAGGTACACTTGGGGTGACAACAATTTATGGTCGGTTGGCGTTTAAAATTTAGGAATCAATGACGACCACGACGAAGAGACACCGCCAAGCCCAAGAGCAGGATCCATCCAGCGATGGACACCCGCAAAAGATTAGAGGCGGCATCTATTTTTGGCAGTCACTATGTGTCCCAAGTTTTTTTATGTTTGACTATGGAATTGGTTTTAAGAGGATTGAAAAGGAAGCAGGGTAAAAATGATACTATTCCTTATTTAAATTCAAATGAATAAATCATGAGAAAAGATTTCAAGAGTGAATTCGGGTTTCTCTAACTCCAAAAGTATGCAACGTTTATACAAACCAACAGGCGGATACTTAATGGTCTGTCCTTTTTTAGAGTATCAGAAACAACTTTAAATATTTAAAAATTCTTCTACTTACATCTCTGCCTCAGTGTGGGTGCTTCCGGTGGGGTAATCTGCTTCAGCTCCTTGCCTTTCCTTATGGACTCCATCAGCTGTTCCCTCGGCGAAGGTGTGCACATGCGCGGCGGTCCCAATTGTCGCTCTGAGGCCTGTGTAGATTCATAGGATATGGACACAAAAAAAAAAAAGAAAAGAAGAACTCTAAGTTAGACAGTGTTCGATGAACAACTAACAATTTTTATTTGAAAGCAAGAAGGCAAAAGGCTGGGAGGTCAAGGCAAATTAAATTGTTATCGGCGGAGGAGAATAATATCACAACGTTTAAAAATTTCACACACTGCAAGGGCCAAATGAGGATTTTGATTGGGGATTGGACTTCAAATTGAGTTTCAAATTGATAACATAGTTCAATTTGGAATTTGATGGTGCAGCGGGGGTTTGGGAGCTTTACACACCTTCTTGAGCGGCGGTCGGGATCGGATGAACTCCAAGATCATGGCATGGGCATCCTTCTTGACGCGCGGTGGAATATCTCCATTAACCATCACTTTGCGGAGCTGATATTTTCTGTGGGATGATATAGGATATTAATTATTTCGTAACTAATAAGGGTTATCTTTTAATTAAGCATAATTTCCTGAAACACTCAGGATATTATGGTCATAATTCTAGTATTAGTTTTATTAAAACGTATTATTTTAATGGCTAATAAATTTCTTTAGAGTGCTGCTTTTAGTCAAATTGGCAACTCCATTAGGTTTTAATTAAGCAGTACTCACTTGGCTCTAATGTCCCCCATGAGGATCTCGTAGGGAGTCAGCTCAAACTCGATGGGTGTGCGCTCATAGTTGCTCTTTTAAGGCGAACACCTCGCCGCAGTTCATCGATCACCTGCACCCAGAAGCGCGCCTGTGGATACGGTTAGAGAGTTGTGGTTAAGTCAATGGTTATAGATAGAAAAATAGAAACAGGAACTGGGACTGGGACTATGACTATGACTGAAAGAACATGCAGCATGCTGAAACCTACTTGCAATGCCCTCCACAGCTGCAGCTCGTGCTTGAAACAGGAAGAAACACAAAGATATAAGAAAGAAAAAAACCGGCCGTTAAGTCAAGTGAGAGGCACATTTCACTTTGGCAATTATTTTCATTTAATTAGCAAATAATTTAGACTCCCGCTGCGACGGTCCAGGCCATCGGCATCGTCTGATTAATGCGAGACATGCCACTTGCCACATGACAAGTTAACTGTGCGTATGAGTAATGTGTGTTGAATGCTGCACTCTGGCAGCAGGAAGACTATTTAGCACACAATGGAGCACACCGCCACACATTATACATTATATCCATCATATATTCCGCCACATGTAACAGTGATCCGCAATTTCACTTTCACTACTCTTTCCTGTTCCTGTCAGCCTCTCACAAGTCGAACCCCAAATATGCATTTTGAGACACCTCATTAAACATGCAAAACGGCAAAAAGGGAGTAAAATATGGCTTTGGGGTCCGATTACAGCCTCAAGTTGAAGGCATCGATGGCAGCACATGTGTTTTGACACAATCGTTTCATCGCCAACAAGCCGCAAAATGTTGCATAGACAAGCAAATGCGCTGAAGATGCCGCTCCATGCTTCAATTACTGCAGCAACATCGGCACACCTTTCTGCTGTGTGGCAGCAACATCGGCTTCCGGAAGAGTTTGGATGTTGCTGTTGTGCGTACAACATTGGGATCATTTCAATTGGAAAATTAGCATAGGAAAGCATTATCATCTTGGCAGGCAGCTAAGCGAAAAGTCTGCGGATGTGATTGCCTAACAAAAGTATAAGAAATACCTATAAGAAACTCTAGCTGATTTTCCAGTGAAAACCTTTTCCCACTATACCAGCAGCAACACGTTTAAACAACGCAAAAAGTACAAGAAATACAGAACCAGCTGAATTTCCGCCATTCCAGCATAATAACCCCTTGAAGTCTGTCTCTGAGTTTGTAATGTTTTATTCACAACAACCAGTTGTTGGCTGTGTGACATTCTGAAGGCTGTTGGCTTCCAAGAAGACACCATAAAAAACGCTGACTAAAGACACACTTCTTGCAATCCAAAAGTCAATAAAAGAAAAGTCTCATAAGAAAACGGAAAAACGCTCTCCATGCCAAACAATAGACAAAGAGCAGGAAAAGAGAATGAATGCTTATCGAAGAACTAGAAAAATGATAAGACCTTTTAATCAAGGCCCAACACACAATTGCCTGAAATTACGTTTTGCAATACCTAAAATATACAAACACACTGAAAAATAAACACACTTGAAACGGTCTTCTTTATAAGATAAATGTACCTATTGTTTAGTCACCTGTCTGGCCAATTAATTGGCTCATTCGAGGGCTGCACCTTTTTAATCCCTGGCTTTCAGCACATGCAAATTTATTGCCACAAAAAAGTAAAGGGGGTTTACAAAAAATGTAAAATAAAATAATATTTATGGTCTATTTCATGGCAAGTCTCGGACCCGTATGAGCAAATATTATGGCATATGATGTGTCGTCTATTCCACACGCAAAGGTCTATTATTTGTCTTTTGTTTTTAAACTATTGGACATGCAAACATTGCTAGAGAAAAGCCAAGCCCAGCTAAGGAAAATGTACATCAAAGTACAATTCGAGGTTTACTTATTTTCAATCTAACATATTTGCTTAACATTTAAGCTACTTTATAAAAAAATGCATAAAAAAGATCGACTTCAGTTCAACAATAACACTATTATTACTGCAGTAAAACTTTGTTTAACAAAGCCTTTATGGTTTGCTTTTATTTCATTTAAAAACCTGCCGCAACAAAGAAAGAGTTGATTGAATTTAGGCAATTAACAGTTCATATAAATATAACAACAAAAGTGCAATTAATAACCACATATGGATATTTTAAGCAAATAAAATATCAGCTGAAATAATTAAAAGCCTGTTGATTTTAATTAAGAAAAAAATTGCGTTTTTAAGAGATCATATTGCAGGGTTCTCGTTTGTAATTTAAAGCTGTTTTTACATAGTTTTTTATAAACTATCAGCTTACTGAATTAAAACATTCTTCCATGATGAATTTGTTGTGCTGTTAACTTTTAAAAATTTCCCTATGACTCAATATTAATATTCTCCATTTCTAAGGTAAGGCAAAACCAATTATGCAAATAAAAATGGCAAGAAAACGCCTTCTTATCAACTATTTCTGAAGGCAAATTGGCAAAAACTGTTCTTTGACAGTTCTGGGTTCCGATCTGATTAAAGCACAAACACACCTCGGAACGGTAAAAGCAAGTCTAGTATACGTTTTCACGCGAATAATAAATATTGAAAAGCAGAAACAAAAACAAGAGCGAATTTTTTGGGTTTGCGTGTCTGGCCAATTTGCGTGTGTGTCTCAATGAGTTTTCGGAGGTTGGATGATGGCAAACTCCTGGCTGCGAATGGCCTCGACATATTCACCAAAAGGTCACAAAAATATATAGATGATATATGTAGGTATGAGCGCCCATTAAAATAGCGTTGAACTCATTAGGATGATGGCCGAAATGGAGGCGACCACCTCCGGCCAATTATTGAAATTAAAAGTGAATTTCATTTTGGCAATGCATGAAATAGTTCACTTTTTTTATACTATATATACTCGCAAGCGGAAAAGCCCACCAGAAATGCTCGTGATCTGTCTGCGATAATGATTATGATGATGATGATGATGATGGCTTTTGGCCAAAAAGCCGAGCTCCAAGAGGTGCGCCAAGCAAATCGTGAGTCGCCTTAGCCACTGTTTTGGCCACTCCATAGGCCATTAATGGAGCATATACACACACGAGATGGTCTATTATATAACCACATCCCTCGAAGATGAGAAGAACGAAGGAGAATGATGGGGAAAGATCTTGAGAATCTTACCCAGTCGTTGAAGCCCAGCTTCGCCAGTTCTTGTTGCGTGGTGGCCGACGATTCCGAGGCTTTGATCAACTTCTCGGCACCTGCTAACGTGTAAATGTTATTAATTAATTAAGCAACATTTTCTATCATCGATCACTTACCGTTGTTCAGGACCTGCTGCAGAAACACACGGAGCTCTATGGTCTCCGTCACGAGGGCTCTGCAAACGGCTCTATAATGATTCTCTGGCAGGGTGGCTTTTATATGATTTCTGCAGGTCTGCAAAGGGAATAGGAAATTAAGGATTAAAAGACTTGGAAATTATGCATTGATATCTATGTTTTTACTTCACAAGCCCTTAAGATTTCTTTGTATCTATTTAACCAAATGAAACACATGCAAATTCTGAAATTAAACACTTAAGTTACCTAAGTAACTAAAAATATCACATTCTAACCACAGCTATTTGTTTATGCTAAAAATATACGAGTATCTATTACATTTTTCCTGCGAAAAACCTCAAACAAATGTTTTTCTACCTTTACACATATATTTTTTTTGCGGTCTCAACTTTATTTTTTTTTTTGTTTGTACATTTTGCCTTGTGAAATTCTGGGAATACCCGCATAATATACAAGACAAAAATTCTTCATACCGAAAAGAGCTAATTACGTTTATGGCCGTTGGCAATTTCCTTTCACTTCTTATGATTATCGTAAATCATATCTGTGGAATATATAGACCAACTCAATTTATTCCGCCAAAATGAAATCTTATCTAACCGTGGACAGTCGCCGGTGCTGGCCAGACAGAGCCAGAGGCGGGTTAAAAACAAATGCAAATTTATCCATATTAGTTGCAGATACTTTTCCACTTTTCGTTGGCGTGCTAGAAAACTCAGGCAAGTGGAAAAAATTCAGGGGGCCAGCCTGCTCACTGTTGCCTGACAGCAATGTGTCAATTCTATAAATTGGCTCATTAGAGGTGAACCTCCCAACCGTGGCTTTCCTCCACTCCTCCTTGGCGGAAAACCAACTCAATCAGCAACGGTGTGAGGTTTATCACACGCCCCAATGCCAAATCGGGATTGGGATCGAGTTCGTGTTCGAGTTCGGGTATCCTCTGATCTTCAAGAGGAACCTTGCTTTGGATCTGGGGATAATGCGGAAAATTCCTGCTGCGCAGTTGACTGTGAAATCAAGTGCAGCAGCAGCAGCAGCACCGGTAAGGCGGATTCAGATTTCTGATTTACAGATTTGCTGCTGATTTCCTACGATTACGAAAGCGTTTGGTTTTATGGTTATTTCGGTTATTTAATACCATCGCGGCGGCCAGTGCAATCGAGCCGGGCATCGAATTGAAATTGTTTTCCAGTCGATCGGATCGGGCATCGCAATCTAAATATTAGAACCCGCGGAAACTGTGGACTGGAGCTTGTTGTTTTGCGGTTTAGTCGCGAAATAGATACCGAGTGCGGTGCGAGTGCGAGTATCTGCCAGATACTTTTATTTCTGCCCGCTTTGGTTAACTGTAACGTGCGCCAAACTAGTTTCTTTCCCACCAATGAATATCGAAATGTATAGATATAGAGAAGCAAGTGCACGGAAAACAAAGCTAAGATGGTTAATTTTTTACTTAAATGTTGGTTAAAGTTAATGTCTTAATAAACATTTATATAATGGTTATTGCAGTTTGAAGATACTATAGCTTTCTTTTCTTTTATATTTCCATTACAGAAGTAATAAAAATATATAGTAACTTAAGTTTCCAGCCTCATTCTCTCTCGGTGTGTCTTTATTTATATATGTCAGATCTCTCAGGCAATTGGGGCGCCTTGAAGCCTGGTCAAAAGGTCAGATCTCGGCGCACCCCCTCACAAAAACAAAATATATATACAAATAAATCTACGTCTGAGACTCTCTGAGTCACATTTTGCCGATCAAAGTTCGAATTTGCATTGGCTTTGGTGCTATTTTGTTGGCACATCATGACACGATTCGATTGCAAATGTCAGATACGATCGATGCAAAATTGGAGACCTACCTCGATAATGTGCTCTAGTTCTTTGGTGTCGTTGCGCTCCTCCTCGGAATCATCGTCCCAACGCTTGTCGCCCTCATCGATGCCCTCGTCAATGCAATCATCGTCGGTTTCTGCAATAAAATGTAAAATAATAAAAAATGAAAAGCAAATTCTCGTGATCTCCCAGTATATCTTTTCATGGCTTTGTATATTTTTATATTATTTAAATTTATCAAAAGTCTACGTGAATCATGTCAGGCATTTCAAGTTTAACCTTCATCTTGTTTTCGCTTGTGGTTGGATGATAAAATGGGGTTTTCGTTTGGGGAAGTCTGTCCTCAAGCTTGATAGAAAGGGGGACTTATTACAAATTATGGTTTAAGAAATGTGATTGAATCACATATTAGAAGTGAGCGTAGAACAATTACACCAGACTTTGTAAATCAATTTAGAAGGGTTCTAATTTTAATGACTCTGGAAAGTATTTATAAATGTAATCAGGAAGCTGTTTTTATAGCTTGACAACTATTATTATTATTAAATCCAAATACTCACCATCTGCCGTCATAAAGTTGAAAAGATTCTCCAGCTCCTGTGACATTTGGCACTCTTCGTCCTCCGGCAGATTGTAATCCAAGGCGGTGTAGACAATTTCCGCCAATTCGCTGATTATCTGCAACAATAACAAAAAAAAGCAAGATAAATATAATATTCAAGTCTTGTGAAAATAAAAATGCAATTGAAGTAAAAGGCTCAAAAGAGCGAAGGTTAAGTCATAATGAAAATGTGCATCTTGTAATGCATTTAACCCCCCTGAAGTACTGGAGGACAACCTGGTCGACAAGCTCCATTCGTTGAGGCAGTTCATTAAACTGACACTCTAATTGGAGTTTGAAGTTGACGGGGAGTTTCGTAGAAAAGCAGCTACAAATTTATATATATACAAATGTATATCTGAGATCTGGGAAGTTGTAGAGTTCAGGTGCAACAACAGAAACACGAGAGACAACAGGCAGCGACAACTTCAAACACCCAAGTGCAGTGTCAGCTGCTGCTGTTTCACTTTCACTTTGGCGTTGGCGAAAAAATAACAAAAAAGAAAGAAATAAAAACACTTGCCGAAAAAGCTACGACAAGGTGTTAAAACATCAAAGCCGAAGAAGCAGCAACAGGTTAAATAATAATTCGCAGTTGCTTTATTTTTAGCCTCAGCCACTGAACCCGAGCTCTTGATCGAAATCTAAAGTCGAAATCCCCACGTGGGTTGATGTCGCCCCCGCAGACATCAAACTATATATATTTTGCTATATATCTCAGATACTGCCTCCGGTTCACATGGATTTGTTTTTATGCTGGAAATTAAATGATAAAACATTGTGACAGCTGTGCAGTGGTGCGGAGTGGCATTTCCACCACTGGCTTTTAACCGCCAAAGACTGAAGACTGAAGACCTGAAGACTACAGACTGTAGACTGAAGAGGTTGACAACAAATGTCAGTTAAATGCTTCCAGCGTTTTTCTTTTTAGCCCGGGCCCTTACATCATTTGCCAAAGAATTGCAGCTGCATTACTTTGTTGCAGTGGCAAAGTTGCAATCGCTCTTTGCCACAGTTGCAGGCGTTGAAGGTTGAGAGACATAATTAATGGGAAAATTATGGAAGAGGTGGATGTCAAGTGTGGCCAAGTGGGAGATACACTATCATATATATTCTGAATGAAAAATTACTTGGGTAATGTAATTTATTAATTTAATTCAAGAGAATCTTGTTCTCTATATTATAAAGTTACTAACAGTATTTAATTGAATGATAGTTATTCAAAATCTCGCTTTAGAAAATTTTATAGATTTAATTTAAGATATATTCAACTGTGATCTATGATAGGCTTTAAGTAAGTTTGTTAAGCTTTATGGAATTTATCTAAGAATTCGTAGTTATTTTAATAGCATGTTTGCTTTGGCTTTGGCTTATGCCATAAGATTGAGGTCATTGAGATCAAGTTTATTTTATAATTCTTAGAAGAAGTAGTACTTTATATTTATTATCTACATCTTAATACGCTTTAAAATTACGTCACTTTAAATCATATTCAAAAACATTGTTAAAACCCAAATCAAAAGCGCACGCAATTCTTTTAAACTGATAATAATCGTTAAACTTTAAACCAGGTTAAATAATTTCCCCTTTTAAAATGTTAATTCCAGTCGTTAAACTTAAATGACATAATTTGAATTCAAAAAGGTATATTTTAAGACTTTTATAATCAATTTAAACTTTTATGAAATGCCATAAAATGTATGTGTAAACTCCAAAATAACCTGTAGGAGGATAGCATTTTTTTCCCCTATAAAGATGAAGCTTTATTAAGATTTTTTCCAAGCAGAAACAATGAAAACCCCGACTCATTAAGCTTTAATGAAAATATTCCACCTACTGATCAGCATACCCCACACACTCAGGAGCATAATTACAGAGTATATAGGATGATATCAGGCTACTTTTAAGGAGGAACCATCATCATTACCCTTACATCTAGTCCCAATCTTGTGAATTTTCCCATGTAATTAGCAAACAGGGAACAGAACTGGGAACAAAAAGGGAGAATTACCAACTCTTTCGATTCGGAATGTGCATTGTGAACAGAATGGGACTGAGACAAGAGTGTAATATGCCAAAGGGGAACCACCTTCGTGGCTATATATTTAGTTTTGTTTTATTTTTTGCTTCCACTTTGCATATCCAGCTAAAGTAAATGAGATTGTATTTGTTGAGGGTGCGCCTGTTCCCAATACGCCAATTCTCACCGAAAAGAAACTACAACTCCCCGTGGCCTAAACTGGCTAATATCAAAGTTGAAACTACGGACATGCAATGCGGCAATTATAAGACAGTTGCCAAAGTTCCATTTCTGTCTCTTATTTTCTGGCCAACAAAGGGAGCTCTTTCGCCCCCTCACCTCAACTTGTCAATCTTGTCATTTTAACCTTTCGCCTGACCTGGGATTTACTGGCTGCTGGTTCTCATCAGCTACTGCCTTTGTTTTTGCCAACTTTATTTTTAGGGTGGCAATTGGGAAATTATTTTATAGCCAAAGTGAACCAAGAGGATTGTCCATTCAGGTGTGAAAATTTCAATGAACCTTGGACTAAGGTGTGTCCATTCAAGTGCAAGGAAATACTGTTTATTTTGTATGAAAATTAATTAGATTTAGTAACCCTTAAAATATCCTTCTTACAATTTATCTTCCTACCAAAAATGCTAATAAAATTGACTTTGCTTTGTATTTATTTCCTCGTTTTTAGAGCCACAAATTCTTAGCTTTGTTATATTTTATTCTGGAAACCTCCATTATGAGTGCCCATTGTCCCAAGGAGCATCTGTGGGGGAATCATAAACTTGTTGTCTTTCCTATGAGACGTCGTCTCCTGGTTGCCGATCTCCGATCTCCTACTGTTCCTGACCACTTGACTTGCTCAGTTTTCCTTCTTTTTTTAGCTGTTGCTGTTGCTATCAGGATTCACATTTTATGCAATTGTTTCCATAGAAAGAATGCCGTATATAAATACGTATAAAAGGTATACATATATATATATGGGCGAACAGCCGGCATACAAGTAGCTCTCTAGACTTGGCCACTTCTCCTGGCTATCTGGTCAGTCGTGATCAATGTTGGCAGCAGCAGCAGCAACAGCAGCAACATTGCAACTGCAACATTGCAGCACAAAAAATGCGACGCCAATGTAAAGCAGCAAGAAAACGCTCGAAACTCTTTTTTTCTAGCCAAAAGGGGGAAGAGGAGGAGATGAGGGGCCAAAACAACGTTGACAAGGCGACGCTGGCGACAACGATTAAAATCTCTTGGGGACCAGCAAACAAAAACGAAATAAACATACAAATAAACAAACAAAAAACTAGAAAAAATAAGAAGAAGAGAAGCAAGACCAAGACCAAGATACAATGAGAACTGGAAATATTTTTGTAAATTACAATGCAATTTTATGCCACACAAAAGGTTCAGTGCGGATCGGTTTTTGCTTCTTGTTTGGTCAACCGTTGGGCCCATTAAGCACTTTACATTCAATGTGGCAAGATCAAAGTGGCTGAAATTTATGGCCGCAGATACGAAGATACTCGTACACGTACCAAGTTTAAAAACCTGGCCCACAGGCCTACAGTGGGTTGAAGGAAACCACATTTGCCGGCCGGAGAGCAGGTTATACAATTTTAGATTTTCCAGTTTCTTTTTTTTGTCTTTTTTTTTTTGCCAGGTATCCACCACCAAGCACCACCGACATAGACCCCGACAGGGGAGAGGTGGCTCAGGTGGCACACGGGGAATGGGGGGCTTGACGTGATAAAGGAGATGCCAGGGGACGCCAATGAGTATGCATGTTTGACCCAAATTCAGGACAAGAGTCGAACAACTGAGAGAATTATGAATATTATGAGTATGATGCACATTGGAAAATAATTGAGAAATATTTAGAAAATAATATTTAGGAGTAAATAAAAATAAAATGAATAATAGAAAAGGATAGACATTACAGAACTAAATAGAGATCGAAAAAGGGAAAAATGAAACTACAAAATTAGATAAGGGAAGAAAGAATAAGATATAATATAAGATATATATAAGAAAAGCTAAAGTTAAAGCTTAGGATCTTAAGAATACCTTTCTAATACCGAAATATAAATATTTAAATTGATATTTACGATGATGCTTTGTAAAGGTGGCTTACGAATTATCTTAAGGTATTTTATACTTTACTAAATGATTCTTATATATGATTCGTGTCTTAATTTATAATTTGTTTGATTTATAGTTTAATATAAAATATAATTTATAATATTAAAGTTGTATTTAAAAAAATGTTTTCCGGAAAATTAATAGGTTCTAATTATGATTGTGCAAAAAAAAAACAAATAGGTTTTTATACTCATTAATTATTTTGCAGGAAAGATGGTATATTTATCATACATTTTCTTGTTCTAAGATTTTTATAAATATCTTCTCTGAATGTACCTACTTAATTTTCCCTCAGTGTAACCCGTTTGTCATCTAATAATTACGTTCTCAGCTTATCAGTAAAGGTGTCGTCCCACCACTTTAAAAACGCTGTGAAAGTGAATGGGAATGAGAGAATCTGAATGTGAATGTGAATCTGAATGCGTGAATATGAGCTTAGATACAAAGTGCGAATGAGTATTCAGTATTTGTGCCTGTCTTGAGATAATATTTGCAATTAGCCAGAGACATGATTATCGGGCAGGTGGTTTCCACTATCCTCTCACCTGTCGCCTCACCTTTTTCCCCATAGTCATCTCTCACCCCCGCAGGCGTTTGTTTTTTTTATGTTTGCTGCTTTCGTCGTTTTCTTGTCATTTGTTTTTGCCTTGGAAACTTTTGTTTTGTTTCGGCAGAGACGTGCGAACTGGGTTAATTTTCTATACCTATATAGATATAGATATATATACATACTTATATACATAAAATACGGGTTTGTATCTGCCGGTGCTACAATTATTGTTTATGCCTTGTATTTGGTGTTCATGTAGAAAATGGCAATTCACACGATTCGCAACACTCTTGCCAAAGAAGCAACAAGCAAAAATTGTGAATTATAATAATAATATTTTCCCATTATTTTCTTTCTCTGTTGATACCATAAATAAA